GGGAAAATGGAAAACTCTCAGATTCTGCAGGTTTGATGCATTTGCTGCAACCAGAGAGAGTTCATGGGTTAGGGCTCTTGCAGCTCCTTTCTGTGCCTTGCAAAGAGAAAGTGAGGCTTCAAAGTGATTCAAAATGCATTTCAAAGGTGTTTTTAAAAGCTGAATGGTGCTGCCTCTCTTTGAGAGCTTCCTTTGCCGACCCAGCCCTCAGTCTTTGACACCTACAGCCCTTTGAAGCTCTGGCACAGTGAGAACAGGGAATAGCATCGTGCCTGGCCCAGACCAGAGCTGAGGCGGTGCCGTGGGCTCTGGATGGAGCAGAGGCCCCACCAGGTGATTTCTGTGTGCAGATTCAGACGACGGAGCTGTCGGCGAGCCAGATCCAGAGCAGCACGCGGCGGCTGGCGGAGCAGCTGGGGCAGAGCAGGACGCAGCTCCAGGGCGACGTGCGGCGCGCGCGGCAGCTCCTGCAGCGCCTGCGCGCCTTCCTGGCAGGTACAGGGCAGGTACCAGGGCAGGGCACGCCTGCAGCCTGCCTCCTGCATGGCACAGCTGCTCTGTGCAGTGAGCAGAGACTCACTGGGCTTGGAACAGACCTCCAAGGTCACAGTCCCCAGCCCAGAGCAGTGAGTGCCATGTCCGGGTGTTCCCTGGGCGCTCCAGGGATGGGATTTGTGGCCAGCATTGACCTGATGCACAGAGGTTTTCTGGCCACGCTCACTGATGCAGACAGACAGACAGATGACCCTTCTCTGGAGCAGGCTGTTAATCAGATGAGGATTCCTTGTTGTCCTACAAGCTGATGGGATGACTTATTGTTCACAGACAGATTGTAATAACATAATGAGCCTCCTGAGCATTAGCAGAATAAGAAAATCAGGTCATTTGGTGCTGCCTGGTGTTAATGATGAGTGAAGATATTTCTGAGCTAATCACAGGGCTAATGTCCCTTGGGCTCTGCCTGCTTCTGATTTATTTTTATTTGTGAAATGAAAAAAGGCTTGTCTTGAAACACACTCTCATCTGCTCAGTGAGGGCTGTCTGACTGCTTTGGGCTCAGCCATGGTGTTAGCATTGCCAAATTCAAGGTACCATTTCAGCTGTTTCCTGAGGGTTTTGCTGGTGTGAATGAGAAGTGCGTGGAATTCAAGGAGATGAGTTCAGAAGAGATCCTGGCAGCTGTCTGGAATGAGGAGATGTGTGTGAGACGTGCATGGGTGTCTGCCCTCCTCCTCCCTTGCGTTTGCACTCCCACCTTCCCTGATGCCGTCTGTCTGCTGGCTCTGCAGACAAGGACACGGATCCTGCCTCCATCCAGGAGATCAGTGAGTCAGTTCTCTCCCTGCGTCTCCCCACGGACGCTGCTGCAGTCCGGAGGAGAATGACCGAGATCCAAAAGCTGGCGACGGAGCTGCAGTGCCCCGAGGACATCCTTGCCCAGACGGCCGAGGACATCGCCAGGGCCAAGAGGCTGCAGCAGGAGGCAGAGCAGGCCAGGTGGGTGGGGGTTCAAGGCCATTGCCAGCTGAAGGTCCCTCAGCTGGGCTGGAACTGGTGGTTTTCAGCTGGGCTCAAATCTTGCTCTGCCCGAGCTGTCCTGACTTGCACAATCTGGAGTTTTAGGATCTTCTGTGTCCAGTAGTGCCTAAAAGAATGAGTCTGCAATCTCCAGACACCTCCCTGGGGCCCCAGTGTGAATAAATCTCCCCAGAATAGATCCTGTTATAGATACCAGGACAAGAAGAGCTTTATGGAAAGCAGTGGAGGCTTTTCTCTTATCTCGAGTGCCTGTGCTGGGAGATGGCAGCGTTGCCCTGGTATTAGCTGATATTGGTGACCTACATCCTAATTGCACAAGAGAGCATGGGGACAGTTAATGGGCTATTTGTTTTCTGGGTGAAAGTTGGGACGATTATTCCACAGCCCCTTAAAAAGTAATTACAGGGTGTCCTTGCCAATTTGGAGCATCTGCATTGTCACAAGTTGACTTGCAGCAATACCCCAGCGAGAAGGTCAGCAGGATAAATCTGTAAACTCCTTGGCAGTGTCTGACACCTGCTTAACCTGCTGGAAGTGATGAGACAGAGGAGCCTGGCTTTCTCCAGGGCTCTGTCACCCAGCCCGAGCAGCCCCACTGTGAGCAGAAAACTTCATTGGAGCTGCTTTCCCTTTGACACCTTGTCATGCCCCATAAAATATACGTTTCTGACTAGTTTGAAGGAAGTTGTTTATCCCCCCTTCTTAGTTGTCTCCTCTGCTTGAGGCTGTGAAGCAGAACTGATGTTCCTCTCACAAGGAAACCTGCTGGAGTCCAGATGTGTGGGTTTTGGGAGTGGGACATTGCAACCTTCCCAGCAGCAATCCTCTCCTGCTTCCCAAGCTCCCTGATTTTACCTCTGTGACCTCCACGCCCAGTCTTTGCCCTTATCACACTCACTCCTGGCTGTTTCCCACCTTTCCCCAGGAACCGGGCCAACGCCGTGGAGGGCAGCGTGGAGGAGGTGCTGGGGAGCCTGCAGCGAGCCAACACGGTGCTGCTGGAGGCCCAGGGGGCCCTCAGGGGCTCGGGCTCCTCGCTGCGCTTCATCCAGGAGCGCGTGGAGGAGGTGAGGGATGCCTGGCGGCCTCCCAGAAACGATCCCGAGTGCCTGCGCCCCCTCCTTCAGCCAGCAGAGCTGGCACAGGGAGGGCTCTGGATGTGACTCCCCTCCTGACGGGGCTCCCTCTGCCCGCAGATCGAGGCTGTCCTCGGGCCAGCTGAGAAGAACGTGGTGGCCATGGGGGCCGGGCTGGCCGGGCTGGCCGGGCGGCTCTCGCAGCTGCAGCACAGCACGGAGCAGAACCGCCTGCGGGCCGGGGACACGCAGGACACGGCGGGGACAGCGGCACAGCAGGCCAGCAGGGCCCAGCAGGTACCGGCTCACAGCAGGGCCCAGCAGTGCCCAGCAAGTACCAGCTCACAGCACTGCCCAGCATGGCTCAGCTCACAGCAGTGCCCAGCAGGTACTGGCTCACAGCAATGCCAGCAGGTACCAGCTCACAGCAGTGCCCATCAGTGCCAGCAGGTACCAGCTCACAGCAATGCCAGCAGGTACAGCTCACAGCAGTGCCCAGCAGGGCCCAGCTCACAGCAATGCCAGCAGGTACCAGCTCACAGCAGGGCCCAGCAGGTACCAGCTCGGGGTGTGCCCGCTGCCAGCACAGCCCAGCCAGCTGTGCCCTGGGCGAGGCCAGGACACCTTCCTGTGCGGTCATGGCTGCTGAGCTGTCACACCACAGCATCGTCCCGCTGCTGAACCTCTCCAGAGCCATTCCCAACCCCAAGGCCCTTTGCTGGGAGCTCACTTCTGGTCTGTCCTGCCTGAGGCAGGGCAGCTCGTGGAGCTGTCTGTCGGTCTGTGGCTGCATCACAAACTGTCACACATTTGGTAACAAAGCTGTGGTGCAGTATCCATTTAATATCCAAACAAGATCAAACACTGGAATTGCCCCTCTGCAGCGCCTGCTGGATGCTACCTGCAGTGTTTGCTTGCCTTTCCCCAGGCTCTGGCCCAGGTGAAGGAGCTGTACTCGGAGCTGCAGAGCAGGCTGGGGCAGGGCCCGGCGCTGGGCGAGCAGGGCAGGAGGGTGCAGAGCATCGGCCAGGAGGCACAGGCGCTCTTCCAGGAGACCGTGGGCATCATGCTCAGGATGGAAAGTAAGGCTCTCAATGTCAATGTCATCATGTCCTGGGGAAGAGCTTGGACTGCTGCTGTAATGAGGGACACGGCACTTTGGGCAGTGAGAGGGTGGGGTCTGGGCTGGAGCTGGTGGTGCTGTGCCAGGAAATCGAGAGTTTTCGAGGATGCCACCATGAAAGGAAGCCCTGCCTGCAGTACCACTGTGCTCCTCTTTTCCTCCACACACTCATTTCCATTTTTTGGCATTCAGAACTCATGGGAGTGGTGTTTTGGGGGTTGTTTAGAGGGTGGGGAGCAGAGGGAGTGCAGGACGTTGGTTTTCTTGCCCTGTCAGAGCTGTGCAGGAGTGAGGTGGAGGCTCAGCCCAACCCCACCACGTAACCCTTCCCTTCCCTGCCCTCCCTCCTCAGCTCTAGAGTCGGAAATTCAGGAAGGCAACAAGGCTCTGGTGTCCAGGATGTCACGGCTGTCGGGGCTGGAGGAGAAGGTGGGAAAGATCCGGGACAACATCAAGAGGAAAGTCGCCTACTACGAGAGCTGCTCCTGAGCAGCCCCGGGCACTGCTGCCTCCTCTGCACACACCCACTGCTGCATTCATCCCACTTTCCAGCTGGAGCTCTCCTGTGCCCAATATCCCTATTTTTAGCAAGTTAATTTTCCATACCTCTGGAAAATAGCTGCACTGAACCGAAGGAGCAACCCCATGGAGGGGGTTGGACTGGCCAAAGCTGCCCAGTGGTTGGAGGAGAAAGGGGGAGAGACATCAGGCTCCCATGGCAAATAAACACATCCCCAGGTTGTTATTTCCAGAGGGCTTTATAAACTGAGAAATTATTTTTTTTTCTTCTTTTTAGCCAATTCAAGCTCTTTAAGCTGAATTTCACTGTTCAAATTAAAGCCCTCCTGTGGGGTCTTCTAAAGCTTTTTATCTGTGCTGCAGTTAATTCTTCAAACATGCCATGGCTTCAGTACTTCCCTCTGAGATCTTCCTTCAAATAAGCAGATCAGAGAAATGGAGAATTTTATCTCCCTCTGTACAACATACCTATATTTATGCAAATTAGGGAAACACAGGCTCATAGTCAAAGGTGAAGTCAGATGTCTTGTTTGATTTTTCTGCCACAATCTGCTTATTTTCCACAGAACATTTTGCCACAAAAACACCAGTGGGAGCAGGTCTGGGATGCACAGGGAAAGCTTTAGGAGGGACTTAACAGACCATTTCCATGTCAGATTTCTATGAATAACCAAGAGGCCCTTTACAAAACAAATCTCAGCTTTATTAAGCAAGTGTTCATTGTGCAATTACAGCCTTGGCAGGGGAGTTCAGACCTTGCTGTGGTATTGTCACACACAGGGAGGTTTCTAGCAGGTTCTGTCTCCTGTTGCACTGAGGGCTGGGCAGCTGAACTCCAGAGTGCCAAAGCCTGGACTAACCAAGCCCGAGGAGAGGAGAGGGCTGTAAAAACATGGGAGCTGCCACGGGAGTAAAGCTCTGCATGGCTTTGGTTTGTGGGGCTGATGTTGTTCAGGGTGTTTGTGCAGTGACACCTAAACAGGGAGCAGGAAACAGAAGCTCACAGCACTGGTGATGCCCTATGAGAATGTACACTGGGTGTGGGAGCAGGAGCCTCAGACCTTCCCTCGCCTCCTCCCAGCTGGAATGATCCAGAAACACCCCGAGCTGACTGCAGGGATGGATCCTGGCACTGCTGTGCCCCTGGCCCCAGCTGGTCACTGCTCTCCAGAGCTGCTGGCTGGGCAGAGCCTCCTTTCTGCTCCGAGTCTGGCTCTGAAGTGCAGAAAAGAGTAAAAGAGCCCTTCTGGTTCTGCAAGAGAGAGAATTCCAGGTGAGGACTGGGCTTTGCTCCCCTGCCCTGCTCCCTGCAGATCGTGCTGCTGACGAGCCCCGGTGGGCAGGGACAGCTGGGGTCCCTTTGTGGCTCGGACAAAGGGCTGCCACAGCTCTGATTGCTGAATGGGCCTCTCTGGAGTCTGCAGGGCTCTGACTCCGCTGGGCTCTGCTGTTAATCCGTTGTGCTTTGCAGTCCTGATCAAACAACCTCATCAGCAGAGACTGGCACAGGGCACGAGAGGAGGGAGCTCGCTTGATGTGGCTTTTGAGGAGAGCTGTGCCAGCAGGACACAGCTTTGGGACATTGCTCAGAGCAGGATCTGACAGCAAAGCTCCTCACTGCTCACACACAAGTGATGACAGCACTGAGCCAAGCTGTGGCCAAACAGGATCCAGGTTGCATCATTTTACTCTGCTTTACAAAATGAGCATCTCTGGGCTCTGCTCACAGAGACATTCAAGCCTGCCTGAGTCAAACCTGGCAAAGAGAGGAGCTGCCTGTGCTGAGCCCTGGAGCTGCAGCTCCTGTCAGCCCTGTGCTCATGGCCACAGCTGAGACCTGGCTGAACAGCCCAACCCCAGCTGAGGGACAGGTTTGCATCTTTTTCCCATGAACAGCTTGAAATCAGTGTAGAGTTTGGTATGACAAACCCAAGCTTGGCTCCCTCTCTCACCCTGGGCAACCTCGTTGGGATGCAAAAGTTGGATTCTGAGTCAGGGGCCTGGCCCTGGTGGAAGCTGAGAGCTCTCATGGCTGGAGAGGTGCTGGTGAAAGGCTCTTGCAAAAAACCTGGGTTTGTTCATTTCATGTACAGTCACTGTGCTATTTGTGCCTTTCCCTTTTGCCTGCCCTAATTGGATTAATTAAGAGCAGCTTAAGATTGGACTGCAGGGCACTCACCTCTGACCACGTGGCTGCCTCCATCACATGATCAAACAAACTCCAGTTTGCCCAGTGCCACAGTGAGACGAGTGTTTACTGGTTTTCATTGGAACAAGAACCTCTGACTTGAAATGACTGGTTGGGAATGGGTGAAAGGGAGCAGAAAGAAGAGAAATTGCAATTAATTAGGATCATTCTGAAGGGGAATCGTGGTGTCAGTGTACACAACATCAGCTGTCAGAGCAGGGCTGGGTGCAGTCCCTGCAGCCAAGGCAGGGTCTGGTCTCAGCAGCAGCAGCTCGAGCCACTGGTAACTCTTGTGGAAAAGCAGTGAGCTGCAGTCCATGGGAGCTGTGCCACCCAGCCTGGGCACCCTGCTCACCCGTGCTGGGACACCAACTGAGCCTGGGCTGGGCACAGCTTCCAGCCAAACAAAGCACTGGCTCATCCCTCCCCTTCTCCCTCCAGCTGGCCACGACTCCTGTGCCAGGCCTCTCCATTCCCATTCCATTTGCTGGGAGCTGATGGCAAGGACCTGGATACCTACTGGGATCTTGAAGACTTTTTGAGCAGCACTGTCTCGGAGCAGGAGGACGCCTTCATCTTCTCATGGCCCACACAGGAGGGGCTGCAGCCACAGGAGCTCCTGCCCGGGGGGCTGGGGGTGTCCGGCAGGGCCAGGCTGCTGTCCCCAGGCAGGGGTCCCTCCTCTGGGGGGCTGGGGGTGTCCGGCAGGGCCAGGCTGCTGTCCCCAGGCAGGGGTCCCTCCTCTGGGGAGCTTGGCAGCTTTTCCTCCCCCAGTCCCGGGTCCTGCTGGGGCTGAGGGGGTCTGGGTGGGTTTGGGTGCCCCTGAGAGGGGCCCTGAGCTGTGTCCTTGTCATCGCTTGGCGCTGCTGGCGGGGGGGTCCCGGTGGGGCTGCTGGGCCTGGGGGGCTCTGAGGTCTCTGTGGCAGGGACAGAGCCCTCAGCTGCCCCGTGGCCGCTCATGTGCAGCTTCTTCATGTGGTGCACGACGGCCGCGGCGTTGAAGGCTTGCTGGGGAGGGAGACAAAAGCCCCAGTGAGCAGCTGGTGATGCCAGGACACGCTGTCCCCCCCTCCCCAGGTGACACCAGTGCTGTCAGGACTGGCTGTTTGGCACGGGCACATTCCTGCCATAAACACCCCCTTTCCATCGGGTGCAAGCTGCTGATGTTTGGAGCTCACAGCTGCTTCCAGCCAAGAAAAGCAGGGAACAGCTGGGAATGACCCCCTGCCCTCTGCTCTGCTGGGGAGAGCCCTGCAGCTCCATGTTTGTGGTGAATCTCACTTTGGGAATATTGCTGCAAACAGCCTGTAGGCATCGCCTGCAGGCAGCTCCAGCTTTGGAGGATCCCAGGTTCTGGGTGCTCACCCACCCAGCTGAAGCCCTGCTCGGTGCTGGCTGACAGCAACTGGTGTTTGTTGTGGGCTCCCGGCAGCAGCCACTTACCCTCCATTTGCTCTTTGCAAAGTTTTTCTGGATCTGAGCACTGACAGATGGGTAGATGTCACGGTGAAGGGCTGTATTTCCATTAATCCTGCAGATGGAAGAGAAGGAAATGGGCTCGTAGGCAGATGGCATTTGTAAGGCATTCCACATTCTGGAAGCACCGAGCTGCTTTGTACGTTCAATCAGCAATAATTAAACCCAAAGGAAAAACAGCAACAAAATGTAACACAAACACACACTTCAAAGCCTGGGAAAGCTCAGGGTGGGATTTCTCCTCTGCCTCTGTTTGTGGAGGCAAATATGCACAAATTGCATCTTTAATTATTCATGGTTTGCTTTCTTTGCACACAAGAAGGAGCCGGCCCGGAGCGCGGGGGAGGCGGTGACGTTAATGATGTTAATGACGTTAATGACGGGGTGGGGGACACTCCTGCTGCGGGGACACTCCTGCTGCCTCTCCCACGGAGCACAGCGAGCACACAGAGCGACACCTGGGGCTGCAGGAGCCCGTGGCACCGCGAGCCTCACCAGGGGTGCCGCAGGGCCTCCTCGCAGGTGAACCTCGCGCTCGGGTTCTTCTCCAGTAAATGCCGGATGAAGTCCTTGGCTGTTTGGGAAAGGGGGAAAAAGCAGACAGGGGTTGTTGTCTCCTTCTTCCAGAGCTGATCCTAACAGGACATGGGAAATGCTGCTGGATGAGCAGCACAGAGGTCAGCCCCGAGGAGAAGGGGGTTGTGTCGCTGCACCAGGGGAGGGTCAGGTTGGATTTTGGGAAGAAGTTCTTCACTGAAAGAGTGGTCATGCATTGGGAGGGGCTGGCCAGGGTGGTGGAGTCACCGTCCCTGGAAGTGCTCAAAAATGAGAGATGGCACTTGGTGACGCGGCTTGGTGGGATTCAGTCAAAGGCTGGACTTGATCTTGGAGCTCTTTTTCAACCTTAATAATTCTATGATTACTCCAGTAAAGGAAGATTCTTATAGTGACAAGCTCCAGATGAAAAAAAATATAAATTCTGGATGTACCAAACTTCACTCTTAGATTGTGTGAGTTGGAGTTGAATTATTCACCAAAAAAATAACTCTAGAAACCATGAAGTGAAAACTGAGCAGATTTAGAAGTTGCCTTGAAGAGCTCTTACATCTCTCCCTGGTTTTTTTCCCCTTTGTTTTTCTTGCAGGAATGATTGTGATGTTTGTTATTAAACCCCAGCACACCCCCTGCTAGGTTTGTTTGTTTGCATAAAAGATTGATGTTGAAATAAGCCGTGAGGATGCTGCCTGCAGTGAACTCCACGAGCAGCTTGGGCTGGTGAAGTGGTGGCTGATGGGACAGAGGAAAAAAATGGGGAAAAAACTGCAGTTTCCCTTCTTACAGAATCACAGAAGGGTTTGGGTCAGAAGGAGCCTCAAAGCTGACCCAGCACCATCCCTTCATTACCTGACTCGGAGATATCATCCCAAAACGGAGACTCGAACTCGAAGTAGCCTTCCTTAATCTTCTCAAAGAGCTTGGATTCGGTTTCCTCATAGAAAGGAGGGTACCCACAGAGCCTGGAACAGAGCAGGGACAGGGGCCCTTCAGTGCCAGCACAGAGTGGGCACAGGCTCCTCCACACACAGCACAGAGTGGCACTGGCTCCTCCGCGGCCACGCGAGCGAGGAGTGACAGTGGTGACAAGGAGCTGCTCTGCCCCCTCCGCTGTCCCTCTCCGCTCAGGGGATCGGCAAAGCTGCACAAAAGAGTTAAAAACTCCACTGCAGCAGCGAGAGGACAAAGCCACAGCTGGTACCGAGCTGAGAAGTGTGGGAGGAAACGAAACAAAAAGTCCCCGGGAAGATGGAACGGTATTTGTAGGGAACTGGGGAAAAACAAACCATAGGATGAGGCACAGACAGAGCACGTGGGATTCCTTTCATCTCCTCTCCTGTGCTCGATTCCCCACGTCCCTTTAATTTCCGTGTTTGGGCAGACTCGGGAGAGGAGCGGGATGCTGCTGCCCGCCGGTACTCACAGGATGTAGGTGATGACCCCGATGGACCAGCAGTCCACGGCTTTGCTGTAGGGCTTCTGGGCCAGCACTTCGGGGGCTGCAGGACAGCAAAGCAAAGGGCAGCTCTGAGCAATAGTGAATTATCCAGCTGGGGGAAGCAGCAGTTTCAGCCAGGAGCAGCCCCGTTGCCCAGCTGAACTGGTCTGTGGTTTTTGGATCTTTTTTATGCTGTTACACAGAAAGAACCGCAGACAGTCTCTGCCTGCATGCTGAGGTTTAACCACAGAGCTGCACCCAGCCAGTGCAGTCTGGTGGGAATTAAACAAAATCCCATTGCATTAAAATAATTTTTATATATTTTTTTCAATAAATATATTGCCCTTAAAATTACCCTTTTCTTTGCATTTTTAAAATATTGAGATTTTTCAGTCCCTACACTCATTTATAGGGTCTGTGCAGTGCATCTGTGAGTCCCATGTTGTTACCAACATATTGCTGTATTTCCTTCCCTCTTCCAGGCATGTCCTGGGTGTGCACAACCCTTTCTCCAGGAAATCCACCAGCACAAGCCCACTCCTGCCCCTGGCTCACCCACGTATCCTGGAGTCCCACAGGCCGTGGACATGATCCCGTTCTGCTCCATTTTCGACAGGCCGAAATCCGTGATCATGATTTTGGAGTTCTCCTCGGGGGTGAGGTACAGCAGGTTCTCAGGCTGTGGGCACGGTGAATTCGTGGTGAATTCGTGGTGAATTCATGGTGAATTCGTGGTGAATTCGTGGTGAATTCGTGGCGAATTCGTGGTGAATTTGTGGTGAATTCGTGGTGAATTCGTGGTGAATTCATGGCAAAGGAGGTGGGCAGAGCAGGTGAGGGGGCACGGGCAGGGCTCACCTTCAGGTCCCGGTGCACGATGCCGTTCTCGTGCAGGTATTTGACGGCTGTCAGCACCTGGTGGATCACCAGGCTGGCATCCTTCTCCGTGTAAACACCCCGCTCCAGGATCCTGTCAAACAGCTCTCCCCCGGACACCCTGGGGAGAGAGAAGCGCCGGGATAAACGCGGACAAAGCTTTTGTGTTAGCTCAGCTGAGTTTCTGCTCCTTTCTCAGCAGTTTTTGGGAGGCTGATGGATGCTCCTGGGTGCAATGCCAGGCTGCCAGTGGGGGTTGCTGCCAAAGCTGGGCAGTTTGGGTGAGCTTGTGAGGCAAGTCCTGCTAGGGCTGGGCTGCAGGGACCCAGCCCTGCCTCAGGCTCCCCTCCACAAGTGGCTAGAGGGTTTTGTTCTTTACTAAACCTGCAGTCAAGCAGCAGCAGCCGGGTGCTCAGAGCTGTTCCCTGCTGCTGACACGGTGCCCATTCCATTTCTAGAAACCCTGCGTGGCACAGCTTTAATTAGAAATACTTCTCTCTCTGCCCTGCCAAAGTGTGAGGAATTAATTTGCATAAATAGACCCAAATCGTGGTTCAGAAAGCTGCTGTTAGAACGGGGATGGGCCAAGGGGCCACAAGGAGTGTCCAGGCTGGTGCTGACATCCCACACATGCCCCTGCTCCTGCCCTGGCCCCAGAGGAATGGCTCTGCTGGCACTCACAGCTGCATGACCAGGTAGAAGTGGGTTGTGCTCTCATAAATATCTTCCAAAGTCACGATGTTTTCGTGCTTTATTCTGCAAAGGGAAATGTGGGTCAGAAACAAATCCTGGCAAGGACAAAAGGGGGGAAACCCAGCAGATATCTTGCTTTAATCACCAGGGAGAGTTCGCTGGGGGTTCTGGGGCTGCTGTCCCTCCCCCTGCGTGGCAGAGGATCATTGATCCATCCAATTCCTTTTGGAGCACCAGGCACCATCAGTGGGGGCCAGACCCTTTATTTAAAGTCCCCAGCACATCGGGAATGCTCCTTGCACTGTCACACTCACTTTTTCAGCACTGCTATTTCATTCTCCAGGCTGCTGTCCCTGTTGAGAGGAGACTTCTTGATGCATTTCAGAGCAAAGAGCTTGCCAGTGCTTTTCTGCTTCACCAGGAAAACTTCAGAGAAGGCACCTCTGCAGAGAGGGGGAGAAGCTGCATTTCAGGGGGTGCTGCTTCTGGGAACGGGAGGGACAGACAGAGAGGGGAAACAGCACGGAAAACTGTGTGGTGGGAACTTTATGTGGGTGCTGATTCTAAAGCTGGAACTGTACTGGAGCAGCCCCAAACTCAGGGTGTTCAAGGCAAGGTTATGCAATGTGAATAAAACCCCACGATCTCTCTGCAGGGAAAATGTTAATTCTGCACGGTCCAGGAGGGAGCTGCAGTTTGGGTTGTGTCACCCAGCATTCTGCAAATCCAAAATGCAAAACAGCAGGAGAAGCCCAGTTAATCTTTAAATTCAGCCTCTGCTTGCTCTCCTGCCTGCAGAGGCTGTGGCCCTGTGTCCCCTCGGGGACAAAGTGACAGTGAGTGTCACAGCGAGTGTCTGCTCACCCCCAGCAGCAGCAGCAGGTATTTATAACCTGCCTAAAACCCCCAATCCTGTTACAGCTTTGTCCTGGGAGCTGAGCACGAGGCTGGGGCAGTGACAGTGACCCTGGGCTGGGCCTGACCTCACTAATCCTCATCAAACCTTTAATGATGCAGCTCCTTAATTGGGGGCGTTAAATGGGACTTGCTGTGAGTCTGCAAAGCCCTGCAGGGAGCTGAGGGCAGGGCAAGGAAGGGCAGTGCTGTGGAGCCTGGGGAAAAGTGATAACAACTTGGAGGTGGTTTTAAGTCCCAGATCTTCATTTCAATTCTTCAGAGAGCTGAAGCGACGCATGTGGGAAAAATCCCAATTTCTAATGCTAAATTTTCCTATTAAAGCAATAGTAGGAAATGAACAACCTACAAATCAGCTGCTGGGGCATCTGTTCTACATCTCTGTCCCAAACAGTTTATAATAATTATGCCCCTTATTAAAAATGATGAATCAACAAGTGGGCTAGGAGAGAACAAAGCTTCTTCTAACCTCGTTCCTTTAGTGAAAGCTGCTGGATAATTCAATTAATCTCTGAGGCTGACAAGGCACAGAATTTGGAGTAGCTGCTTCTTTGGGAGCTTTCTTGTGGGCTCAGAAGTCACAGAAAATTTGTCCATGACAGAACTTGCTGGTGGAGGTAATTCAATTCCTCCCCCACAACCTTGGAAATGTTTTGTTGTCTCATCCCCATGAATAGGCAAATGAAGCTGTTAACGCACAGGGAAGGATTGTACAACTCCAACATCCTTGTTTTTGTTTCATTCCCCGACTGAGTCAGGGTTCCTGAGCTAAATATACAACTTGTTATTGTCATTCTGTGCTGCGCCAGCCCCTGACCTTGCAGCAGCAGGAGCGGGGCAAAAACCCCAAAACCTTCCCTGCAAGAGAGGCTGCCTCGGGGTCAGGGGGGCTGCAGGGAGGGCAGGGGGCACCTGGGGCTGTGCCCGGGGCTGGGGGGGCTGGCTGGGGGTCTGCTGCTGTTTGGGAAGGGAGAGCCAGGAGTGGGAGCAGCAGCAGCAGCATCCTGGGCACCCCACACCTGCTCCTGGGCACCCCTCACCTGCTCCAGGACACCCCTCACCTGCTCCTGGGCACCCCACACCTGCTCCAGGACACTCCTCACCTGCTCCTGGGCACCCCACACCTGCTCCTGGGCACCCCTCACCTGCTCCAGAGCACCCCTCACTGCTCCTGGGCACCCCACCCCTGCTCCTGGACACCCCTCACTGCTCCTGGGCACCCCTCACCTGCTCCAGGACACCCCTCACCTGCTCCAGAGCACCCCTCACCTTCTCCAGAGCACCCCTCACCTGCTCCAGGGCACCCCTCACCTGCTCCAGAGCACCCCTCACCTGCTCCTGGGCACCCCACACCTGGTCCAGGACACCCCTCACTTGCTCCTGGGCACCCCACACCTGCTCCTGGGCACCCCTCACTGCTCCTGGCCAGTCCCAGAGCAGCGGGTCCCTGGGACACTGGGCAGGGCCAGGAGGGCTTGGGGACACTGGGCAGGGCCAGCAGGGCCTGGGGAGCCGGGCTGGGGCTGCTCCTGCCCCGGGCCAGCGCTGGTACTCACGAGCCCAGGGCCTCCATGAAGATGAAGGTTTTGCGGATGTTGCTGGTCTGCTTCTTCCAGGAGCCGCTGCCATCCTCCTCCTTGCGCCCCATCTCCTCCAGAGTGGAAGCAGGAACGCTGCGAGGAGGAGGAGGAGAGGTCACTGTCACTGTCACTGTCACTGTCACCGTCACCATCACTGTCACCGTCACTGTCACCATCACTGTCACGGTCTGGGCTGTCAGGGAGCCCAGGACTCCCCAGTCACAGCTGGACTCAGAGCTGGACAAGGCCTGGGGGCTGGGAAATGCTCCCCAAACCCCTCAGAACTCGTCATGAGATCGGGTCTGGGGACGGGAGGGACACTGGAACCTGAGACAGGAACCTGAGACACGGGAAAAATAGATATAAAAGTGACCCTGGGCAGCAGGGAGCGTCCCTGGGAGTGGGGAGCATCCCCTGCCCAGGGCAGGAAGGCAGCCAGGGGCTGTGGGGCACTGCTGAGCCTTCAGAAGACAAAGCAAAAGCTCTCCTGGATGTTTTTTATCCCTTTGGAAAAGGCAGAAGTATTAAAGCAGAGAAAAAGCTGAAAGGTCTTTTTTTCATGAGAGACTGCTTAGATATTGGATTCCTCCTGAACCTACTTTATCTCCTTAATTAGCACGTTTGCAGGGTTCTCAGCTCCTTGACACAATTTTTAAAGGTTAATTTAACATTATTGAAACCAAAATTGACTCAGTTGTAAACAGTTGAAGCCTTCAGTCCATAAAATCACCAAAGGCCTCATGAACTTGACCTTTATTTACCTCTTGTTGGTGATGCCTGTGTAACTCACAGAAATGCAGCTCCTTCTAGAGCCCAGCCTTATCTTGCTTTTGAAATCAGGGAAGGTCAAAAGTCCTTCACAAAAATGCTGATCAATCAGTAGAAAACTTTCTGCCAATTACTTGAAGTTCCTAAATAATGTTTTCTTTGCAGTCATCTGCAAAGAAAACCCAAATCTACAGATCTGGAATAGCACAGAAAAAGAATTTGCTGGCAGAGACATTCAGCTGTGATGTCAGGTGAGTTTTACCCACTTTAAATAAATATCAGGCCTGGCAGGGTGGTGCTGAGTGACAGGGAAAACTGAGAGGAAATCTCCATTCCTGTCCCTGGCTGCTGCCAACCAGAGAACATGAGGTGGAAAAAGAGAATAAAAACCCCAAGTAGGTCAGCCTGGCCCTGGGGACAAGTGGCATTTTGGGCTCCTGTGCTGCAGCCCGTCCTGGCTGGGAGCAGCTCCTGGGACAGAGGGAACAGGGCAGGGAGAGCCTCCTGCCCGGGCAGAGGTGACTGTCCCCAGCACTGGGGGACAGCGGGTGATGGACACTCACTTCTGAGAGTTTGTCCCATCCAAGCCCAGGGGTTCAATCTGCCCAAGCCTGGCTCATTTCAGCTCCACTCCCGGAGTATTCCGATGTTTAATTCCTTGTGAATTCAACACGTTCCCTACTTTAAAGGGAGTTTTGCTCCCAAGGGAAGGAGGGTGGTGTTTTCCCCGCTCTCTGTGAATCATGTGCTGGTCCCAGAGCTGCTCCTGCTGTCCCCTGGGGTGTGGCAGTGCTGCTGGGCACAGGCTGCAGGAGCAGCCCTCGCTCCCTACGCCTGGGGCTGATTCCTGCTCCCTCAGTTTCCCTGTGCCATCAGCACAAGTCATGTCCTGCCTGCCCTCGCCTCTCTGGAGGAGATGCTGCTGTTCTGGAGCAAAAGAATGGAATGTCTGAGCTCCTGAGGTGGGAAGCTGCCCGTGGCAGGGGGGAAGGGAATGATCTTTAAGGTCCCCAAACCATCCTGTGATGCCAGCAGTGCTCAGGTGATGGACATTCACCCCCTCTGCTCCTGTGGATCACATCCTTCCCCTGGATTTCCCTCTTTTGGTACCAGGGGAAGGGTTTGCCCAGGGGTGGGTGCAGGACACGGCCTCTCAGCCCAGCAGTTGTGGGGTCGGGAGAATGGGAATTCCCTGGGTCTGTGGGAGCTCCCCAGGGTCTCTCACTCTGCCTGAATCACCTGTTGCACTCACAGCAGTTGGGCACAAGGCAGTGCTTGATGTAGCTGCTGTTTGTCTTTTGTTATTTTTTCAAGCTGTGGTGCAAGAATCCCCAAACCGCAGATTGGTTTGGGTGGGAAGGGACCTCAGAGCCCCTCCAGCCATGGGTCAGCCATGGGCAGGGACACCTTCACTGTCCCAGGCTGCTCCAACCTGGCCTTGGCACTGCCAGGGATGCAGGGGCAGCCCCAGCTGCTCTGGGCACCTGTGCCCTTCCCGGTGCCCAGCCCTGGGTTTATGGATGAACTCCCTCAGCTGGAGAAACTTCCCCCAGCAGTGGGACCATGGCAGAGGATGGGCAAACCCCTGCTGCTGGGATTTCCTGCCCTGCTCTGTGCCCACCTGCACACTCCCACCCCTGCCGTGCCCTCCTTCCCTGCCAGCTCCACCCTGACCCCAGCCCTGGCAAGCACACAGAGGGCACCCACAGGCACCTGGAATTCACATTATTTTAAATAATTATTTCAATAATTCACATGATTTTAACCCCTGATCCCAGCGAGGGGCTGTGGTGCCCTTGTGCCCGTTCACCTCCGGGCAGTGCCAGCACACCGGTGTGCCACGGTTGCATAATGAGATTGAAAAGCTCATTAAGTAATGCAGGTGAGACCCTCTGGAGCTGGGAGTGAAAAGCTCATTAAGTAATGCAGGTGAGACCCTCTGGAGCTGGGAGTGAAGTGCATGACACAGCTTTGATTTGTGGAGCTTCCCCATCCTAACAAACACAGCCACACGCAGGGCTTCACCTGGGTTTATATCCTGGACAGGAGATAATAAACAAGTGTGGCATCAACGTCTGACCTCTGGGCTCTCCCACAGCCTGAGCCAAGCAAGCTCTGCCCTGGCTGATCCTGCACGACACTGCCAGGGTGCAAGACTTGTTATTATGACCTTGCTTAAATCTTTCCCGAGGAAATCTCTTCTGCTTCCACATCCCACAGCAACAAATGCATCTGCAGCCAGCCCCTGGTCCTGAATGCATGCTCTGCATTAGCAGAATGATTGTAAGTCATGATTAATGGTCTCGTGACAAACTTCCATGTGCAGGGGGAGCAGACTTGCAGCTTTCAGGGCTTTGCCTTTGGAATTAGAAGTTTATAGGAAAAAAGGGGGATAAAAATTCAAAGGGCTTTGATTTTTAAAAAAAAAAATAGAGCAAAGCAAGCAAATCTGCATGTGAATGAATGAATGGATGGATGAATGAATGAATGAAGTGCCAGGGCAGCCTCTGTGTTCAGGGACAAAAGAACGAGAAATTGAAGCCACGAGCTCGCCATTAAAAACAAACCCACATCAAAGCTCCCGTGTCCCCCCACCACGCCATCCATTCCAGGGCAACTTGGGGGACACTTGCAAAATCTCCATTTTCATGGTAAATAGCCCAGACTTCCTACAACACGTTGGATGGAAAATGTCAGAGACAGCTTTCTATGAAATCGCGGAACGCAACACGAGTGCCGGAGGACACTACGGAGGAGAAGTCCTCTGGTGTTTCCCTGCTACGAGATAAAACCAATTCAAAGCAAAGCAGGTGAGCAGGGCTCCCACCTGCTTCACTGCAGGAGCACGAACAGCAAACGGCTCGTAAGGAAAGGAAATTTTGCTTACCCAAGTCAGCGCAGACAAAGCAACTCCTGTTGGCTGCTCGCGCTCGGCGCCGAGTCTGCGGGGATTAGAGCTCGGCAGGAGGAGGAGGAGGAGGAGGAGGAGGAGATGGAGCCCAGATGGTAACCAGGGAGCCACCAGGGGCACGGGGACGATGCAGCAGGGCTGGCAGCCCCGGTGGCAGCAGGCTGAGGGCTGGAGCTGGGCGTGCAGCAGCCGCTGCTGAGCCATCCCCGGCTGCGCTGCAAACCGAGTCTCCTTCCTCGCCCCGACAGCTCCTCGGGGCTTGGACACCGCCCCATGGCCCTGGCATGGGCTGGCAAAGCTGGCATTTCTGTGGGACTGCCCTGGGAGGGACAGGCTGTCCCGGCAGGGGATGCTCCTCACCGTCTCTGAATGGCACAAACCTGGAGAGCGATCACTGGGCAGAGGTTAATCCCCATGCCCGGATTTGGGGCTGTTTTACCCCCCACAATGGCTCTGTTTTGGCTTTCAAAACCTCCCTGTGAGTGCCTGCTCAAGCACAGCACGTATGAAGAGAGGAAATATGAATAATTCTTTGAATCTTTGCTACGGTGTGGGATTTTTAGAGCTGGCAATAACAACTTTACTGACTGCATTCTCAGTTGATTTACACTGCCATCTAGAATAATGCATGGGAAAAGTCCGTATCATTGTGGAGTTTAGTTTTATGTCAGGAATAAATCAGCTCTGAGGCAATGCTTGAAAATCACCTTCTTTTTCTCAGTGTGTTTTCCCTCAGGAGCTTGGTTCCAAGGCAAAGGCTCTTGGGTGTTGCTCCTGTCTTTGCTGGTCGGGCTCCATCCCTGGGAACTCCCCAGGGATTTCGGTCAGGATTCCTGGATGTGGCTCTGAACGTGCAGGATTCCTTTACTGCGAGGTTTGGGTGGAATTTGCAGGGATTTTCCCTTGAAATCCTTGTAAGGCCTCACCTGTGGAGCGAGGAGTCCCACTGCTGGGGAGACACCAGAGTGGAGTGGGGGGCTTTTGGGGGGTTATTGGGTTTATTTGGTTTATTAGAAGAGTAGATTAGGGGAGGTTATTGGGGTTTATTAGGGGGGTTTATTTGGTTTATTAGGGGGGTTTATTGGGGGGTTTATTAGATTTATTAGAGGGGTATATTAGGGGAGATTATTGGGGTTTATTAACGGGTTTTTTGGGTGTTTATTGGGTTTTTTTGGGGTGTTTATTAGGGGGTTCCCAGCCATCCTGGGGTGGTCTGGAGCAGCTCGAGGTAAGCTGAGGAGCACAAAGGGAAGCTCTGCCTGTGCCACCCCCGGAGCTGTTTGGGGGGAGGTGGCTGTGCCAGCCCAGCCCTGCCTGGCCCCTGCAGAACCCAGTGGGCACAAACCCCCAGGGCCCTGCTGGGGCTGGCCAGGAGTCAGAGGAGGGAGA